GGGGGGGGCATACGCCCCCCAGATCTATGCGGGGCAGGGTGGAGCCGGCGCTGTGCAGGGCTCTGAGCCTAGTCCCTGGCGCGCAGAGAGGGTACCAGTGGTGCTTGGAGGAGGCTGCAACCACCCCAAATTTTGCCGCAGCTCCACTCCCAGCTGTGTGCTGCCACCTGGCACAGCCCCGGCTGAACGTCCCTGCTCCACCCAAGCGCCAGGAAAAGCTGCGGCTGTGCCAGGCAGTGGCACAGGGCTGGGAGCAGAGTGGCAGCAAAATATGGGGTGGCTGCAGCCCGCTCTGAGCCCAGCCCCCGGCAAGAAAAGCAATTACAATATCAATACTTAAAAAAAAAAAATTAAATAATATTTTGCCACACTTTGCTTTGTATGTCAGTTATCTAGGTCATTTTGAATCAGTTCTTGAATAATGCAGGTTACCACCAGGTATCTAGAAGTACACAGGGTATGTGAAACAAAGATCTTCGCAGCCTAAGCTGGGAAAATACGCATTCCTTGTGAGAGCTACCAATTTTCTCAAAGGAAAAAAGTAACATAACTCTTGAGCTTCTCAGGTGTTCAGTTCTTAGGGAGACTGTACAGCAGGTAAAATGTACTTAAGACAGCCAACAGGGGAGTAATAAATATTCTCATGGGCGTCTTCACCACATGTGGCATATGCATACATGAAACAAGAGCAGGAGCACAAAAATGCAGCAGAAACCGTCACTACCATTTCAAATTTTTTGGACATAAAATTTATAGTTTTGGGGGTTTTTTTTAAGCATGCTAATCAGATGGAATACAAGAGCCAGAGCCTTTGGAAAGGTTATAAGGAATTTGGTAAATCTGGCAGTCCCTCCCTACCGTATGGCTGTATACAAGTTCTGAGAAGCTGGGGTGTTTTTGTTTTTATTTTACTTTGCTCTTCCACACTATTCATAGCAAGCCTAAGGAAGAAGTGATTTTAGGGAAGTGGGGGGGAAAAAAAAAAAAAAAAAAAAACGTTTTCCTTTAAGCAAAGACGTGTGTTATAGTAAGGATAAGGAGCTGGGGAGAGGGGAAAACCCACTCCCTGACTTTCCTTCCTCAATTCCCATCTTCACGAGTTTTCCCCAACAGAATCCAAGTCTTGTAAAGAAGATCTTCAATCAGGCACTAGCAGGGCAAGTTTCCACCTTTCTTACATTCAGGACTCTGCGATACTATGCAGTAGACAAGTAGCTTCATTTTACAAATACAGAAGCAGACATTAACTAGAACTACTCACCTAAAGTCACACAGGCCATGACAAAGCTGGAAATAGACCTCCCTCTCTAAAAGACACTCCCCCCTACTGCCCCAAACGCATAGTATTCCCACACGTGCAGAGTATATGGGGGTCCGAGGGCCCTGGCCCCCAGCCCCTTCGGGAAGAGGGCTGTCACCTGAAATGCATAACACTTTCCACATGTCCATCATCTTAGGCCACTCCCAGCAAAAATAAAGAGTCTGTGCCTATGCACACATGGCTATTCCTAGTATTCTCCTACTCTTATATTTCTCAAAACACTTATTCCTTCTGCTAAGTCACCACTACTTTTTTTATATTCTGCTGTGGCAATTATGGCTTGCTAAGTTTGTAACATCTTTATTTCACTGTTACTTGTACAGTAGTAAGCTTTCTTCTGCTAACAGGTAAATAAAGTAAAATTTTCTTGTGCTACCAACACGAGGTAGGAATTGGAAATAGATTATTTAGGATGTTGAATTCAAAATGCCAGCGTACTTGTTTGTAAATTTCCATGTTGACTCTTCTAGTAGCTAAAGTATCAAAGAGAGAGCTATTCTCTTGCACTAGATGACCTTTCCATTTGGAGTACCTAACCTTTCTTTCAAATAAGGCAATGCAGACCAGAGACTGATTTCATAGATTTCTAGGGTCAGATGGGACCTATTAGATCATTGAGTCCAACCCCCTGCTCTGATTGTTAGGTTTATTTTGAGATGAATCTCTGTATTGGAGAAGCCTGAATAAACTAAGTAGTCAGCTACTAATTCAAGAAAACTATTTCTGAGCAAAGTTTGAAGTAAACAGTCTCCATTGCAATTAGGCACTTAGCTGCAAGAGGTTTTGCTAGGCCTCAAGCTTGTGTAGCAGCTCAAAACTAAGGGCATGTATAAACACAGCACTGCCACTCCCTTAACTGAACTACCCCTCTTATCTCTACATAGCACTGCACCATGCCATTTACACCTTCCCAAAGAGGCTGAGCTATCAGTACTCCCATACCAGGTAAGATGCTTATGGAAAAAGCCTGCCTCCAGTCAGATACCTTCTCTTTTTCCATAATGCTGCTGTAAAACAATCCACACAAGTTTTCTACTTGCGCTGTTTTGCTGTCATGATGTCAGAACAATTTTATAAGCAAGAGACCAGCACACTTGTTTTTCTACATTATCTCATCTCATTTCCCAAGATCATAGGTATTCTTAAGTGTCAGAATAGCTATGACTGTTAAGGGTATGTAAGAAAATACAATCTCTCTTCATATAACCCACACCTTTTCTCCCCAGAAAACCAGAAGGGGAAAGTTGGGGTGCACACTGTGAGGAAAAGGGATCCCCATGGGTTTGGAAGGGGTTTTTTGGGTGGGGGTACTTAGGGGGAGCAGGGAGGCATTATTAATTGCCAGGGCTTTGGGGGCCATGGCAATTAATGTTGCCACTGTTCCATCCCCTCCAACTGCTTGTTAGATTAGGCTACTGTATGGGGTTGGTCTGTGATCAGACCAAGTGTGCTGGGTCCAACTTGACATACCCCAGACCTGGCATGCTAAGTCCAGTCCCATGCACTGGCTGCATAGCCATGTGCCAGGTCACACCTCACCTGCCAAGTCTGGGACCAGCTGCTGGCTTCAGGGTTGTGGGCTGGGTAAGACCCAGCATGTACTCGAGAGCCAGCATGTGGCTTTGGACTCAGCATGCCAAGTCTGAGCTGGCATGCAGCCCTTGAGCCAGCATGCCAT